AAAATGAAGTGAAATGAAATGGATCGATGGATGGAATGATGGTCGAAAGATTTTTTTTTTTGTTTCAAAGAGAATCACAAAGTGAGTGAGTGGATGGAAACTAAAAAAAAAATTTAAATAAGCTTAAAACATACCATACAGATGATGTATATATTCGATAAAATTGATGATGATGATGAAGGGAATGGATGGGAAAAGAAACAAGTCCATAAAGCAATGGGGAGATTGAAAACAAATAGAGAAGAATGAGAGAAATTACGAATAAAAACAAAAAACAAATTTGATATCATCATCATTTTGTTTGTTTGAATGGAGACATAAATAGAAACAAAGCGATCCAAAATGTATTATATCAGGGAACCAAAAAAAAAATGAAATTCGGGTAGATTTGATTGATTGCTCAGAGAATGATGATGATGTTGTTGTTTACCCGAAAAAAAACCAGACAAAATAAAAAATGAATGATTTCAAATTCAACATTGATTGTTGACATTGAGACGTTTTTATTTTTTTATTCTGATTTCATCCAAAATTTTTTTTTTATTTTATTCAGAATTAATATCAAATGAAATGAAATAAATGAAGATCTATGGAAATGTATGTTGTGTGTTTGTGTGTTTGTTTGTGAATATAATATTTCGAAAGGATGATGCAGAAGAAGAAAATTCTTTTCATTCTATAAACAATCATTTTATTCATACATTTTTTTTTGATTCATTGAAAAAGATCATTGATAAATTGGTAATTTTCGTATGTGTGTTTTTCGGATTGAATAAATACAATTTTTAATTTTATCAATTTTTTTTTCTACAGACAATTTTCCGAAACAAATTCAGTTATGGTCAACATTTTAATTAATATCATCTCTGTTTGTTTTGTTTGTAAATAATATTTATATAATTTACATATTATAATAGGCAATGGTTAATTTAAGGTTAAAAAAGAAGGTGATTTGTAATTGATTGATTTGTTATTCATCAAGGAATTCAGTCTGCATTCGTTGTTGTTGATGCATTCGTGGACGCTGTATTCATTGGTGATTGCCGTTGTCGTTGTAGTTGATTATTAACCATTGAGGAATCATTATCATCATCAACATAATCATCATTGTCAACATCAATATCGTCATCATCATCATCGTCATCTAATAATGTCGAAATCGAATGTTGATGATGTTTAGTTCGTTGTTGTTGTTGTTGTGATAAATTTAAATGACCTATTAATGATTGATTATGAGATTTATTTGTAGGGATTGGAGAATCACCACCACCACCACCAATACCACCATATAAAGATGATGTTGAACTATTGGATGATCGATTTCCTGTTGAAAATAGATCAGTTTTTTTTTTTGTTGATTAATTTGGGAAAAATTCTACTAAATTCATGTTGTTTTTGAATAAATAAACAGGCAAAAAAAATTCTTACCAATTTGATCAACATAAGAATCACCGGAATAAAACATCATATCGGTTGGTGATGAACTAAGTGGTGAACCACAACCCGGACCCAATGGATTGATACGTTTTTCTTTTTGTCGTCGATTACAAAACCAAACACGTACCACTTCTTTTTCCATACATAATACATCGGCTAACATACAAATCTCTTCGGATGTTGGTTTTGGATTCTGTATGAATGCACGTTCCAATGAAACACGAACAGTTGTTTCAATACTGGTACGTTTTTTACGTCTCCGTCCACTAACAGCTTCAGGCATTTGTGCTAATGCTGCTGGACTTGGTAT